AATGAAATTTGGTTGGGGAATCAAGAGCATTCACATGTTGTTTTCAGAGACAAAGCTAAGAAGGGAGATTGTTTCCAGAACATTTGTTACAACCAGGCCTGTGTGTCATTAGAAGCAGTCCAGTTCTTGTTAATGATAGGAAAGGACAGTGATTTGTTTCTGTGCATAAATAAGATTAAAGTATCATCTGAAAAGAAGATGTCAGACAAGTTCAGGTGGCATCTTAGAATTCTGCAGTGTCATGCCTTAGAGACAGATGAGTGGAGTGTTCCTGGAGATATCTAAACAAGAGAATAGATGGTCTGATATGGTCTAGTCACTGTATTAGATACACTCTGCATCGCCAGAAGTCCTTTAACTTAGCAAAATACGCTTTTATGGACAGAACAGGCTGTTCAAGATGTTAGAGCCGTCCAAGTCTCCAGTTAATTTCTACAATAGTTCTGCATGGGGAATGTTACCAAAGTCGCAGTCAAAGTAACACATTGCAAAAGGAAATGGTGGCAAATGGCCCAGAGGGTCACCAAAGCCTTATTTACTGAAAGGCATTTTCAGAGAAACGTAAGAGGTGACTTAGGTTCAAGAATTCAGAAACAATAAAGCTGAAGTGGAATTTCTATTAGTCATCAGACAAGCAAAATAAGCTGAGCAGGTTCTCTTTCTTTTTTTGTAATGTGAATTCCTAGCCCTCATAAAGCTGTTTATAGTTTGCACAGCATACTTTCAGAAAAGGGATTAAATCCTGCTTGTTTTGAGAGAAGTGTAAAGTTGCACTGGAGATTCTTGATTTCTCTATTAGAAGAAAGCACGCAGCCTCCTTGTGTAAGGCAAGGCTGTGCATGGAAGTTCTGCCTTAGGGACTGAAGAAAAGGACAACTCTGCAGTTCTGGATCTTCCTGTGAGCTCCCACTTTAACTGCTTCATGGTGTGGTGTGTGCATAGGCTGCATCAGAAAAACCCAGCTGGGTGTGGAACTGGTGTCTAGGAAAGTAAGACCTCTGACCAACACCACCTAAATTGATCCCCCCAGCCCAACTGGGGATGTGGACTGCATTAAAGTCCAATGACAGATGTGGGGTAATAGCATCAGATATTATGGTCAGCCAGTAAATTTCCTTAATTATTATCTAAAATACAGTAACTCTTTTGGGGGTATTTCTTCTTCATAATGTTTGCTATGAAAATGTTTAGAGTGTGTGTGTGTGTATATATGTGTGTGTGTATATATATATATATGTGTGTGTGTGTATATATATCACAGATATTCAAGCAGATAATCTTAATTTCTGTAAAAGTACAATTCTTCATAAACAAGTACTTGATTAACATATTAAAATATTAATTACTTAAGAATGGGTCCAATGCTTGATAATGTAGACTCAGGACAAGATAGCTGTCTGCTGAGGGGCAGGCTTTTGCTGGGTGGACATCTTCCTCTCCTGGGTAGGCCTTCATAGCCCCCTTCCCAGGAGCAGTTACCAAAAAGGATTTGAAGAGCCTGGAGGAAGAGTCAGCCGTGTGTCCTGGAGCAGGGAAGCACAAGCACATACCAGGCTGCATCACTACCAGCACATCCAGGGAAGTGACTGCTTTCCTCTGTTCAGCACACATGAGACCTCAAGGCTGGGCTCCCTCATGGAAGGCAGACATCACATTGTGGAGTGAATTCAGTGAAGGGCCACCAGAAAATGATACGTCAAGATCTGGTTTTAGTCTGGAGCAGAGAAAGCCAAGGGAGAATCCTCTTGTCTCCAGGTAGGTAATGGGAGGGCGCAGAGAGGATGGAGAGATGCGCAGTGGAAGGACAAGTTGTACCGTGAAAAATTCAGTTAGCTACTGGGAAAATTTTCTCCATGACATTGGTCAAACACTGGAACAGGTTGCCCAGACAGGGTGTGGGATCTTTGCCTCAGAGGTGCTCAGAACTCAACTGGATGCAGCCCTAATCTGTGAAGCAGGCTCTGCTTGGAGCAGGTGACTGGACCAAATAACTTCTGGAGTTCCCTTCCAACCTAAACAGTTCTGTGGTTCCACTGGAAAGAGGAACGATGCTCCTGACTGGAAAAGCAGCAGTGGGTGAGCCACAAATAAGAAGGCAGGATCCTGACTGCTTCAGGATAGGGGCATGGAGGAGTAAGACTGGAAAAGGGGATGATTTTGGAGCCTTTTTCTTTCCACAGTGTCCACAAAACTAGGAGTGTGCAAGCAAATGTGTCTTGTACCATTATACAAGCATACCCTGCCCAGCAGCAGGTTTTCCTCTCTGACCTACAGGGCACTGGTATAGATGTGCAAATGCTTTCACCTCCAGCTGCCATATTCTCATGTGATAAATAACCGAGTCGGATCTATCTACCCAGAGCTGATTATAGATTTGATGGATGTGAAACTCAGTAAAGAGGCAAGATTGGTTTATAGTCTCTCATGTAACATAAAATAATGGAAACAATTTTTTATTTTTAAAAAGTGTGTTTGAAATCATGCCAAGCAGATTGACTTGCTCTGCTGAATTCAAAGAACCTTTCTGAAGGGTTTGTTCCACTTGTTATTAGGGAGGATTTTTTCATCATAATTTAGTGGAAGACAAGCCTGCATTCTTGCAAGATTAAATTTGCAATCAGCCAGTCATAGAAGGGGAGCTATAGGATGGAGCTTTATCTTTTACACATGTATCATCATATCGACATTGTTATCCCGATCTGTATTTGTAAATGGATGCCATTACGCTCCATCACTCTGAGTGCCAGGCAGGCTGGGACGGGGCTGCCTGCCTGCACCCCAGCGAGTGTCCGGATGGGGGCAGTAACCCCAGAGCAGTTTGAGAAATTGGCTCCTGAAGGAACCCCCTGGTAGACAAAACCCAGTCGTGTTACAGGATTGTGATGTGGTCATGGTCAGGGAATTGCTCACTTGAGCTGTGATGGGCAGATCAATCTGGATTTTTAATTTTTTTTGTCTTCAGAAATGTTCATAGCCTGAATAGGAGCGATGAGGGCTTTCTCTTGCAAAGATGCAAGAATTAATTTTGCATGGAGAGATTTTGTGTTACATTCTGTAAGTCACCCTCCCGTTTTCCAAATGCACACGTACTGCTGTGATTCTTCACATGGATAGGGAATGTCTGTGTCCCCAGAAAACTGCCTGCCGACAGGAATAGCTCTGCTCTGACCTTTCAGATTAAATGAGAAAGCTTTTCTCTTTACATGGCTCTTCCTCTCCCCATCTGCCACCGTGTGCCCACTGTGACCCTTTGCCATTAACCAGGATTTTGTCATTGTTCTGCTGAATTCCCTGTTTCAGTTATTCACATGGAATGTGGTAGGGAAAACAGATGCAGTCCCCCTGCTTTTCTGATAATATTTGGTTTATATTACAGAAGCAACGTAAAGTTTGCTAGGCATGGTACAGCAGTAGATGTTAGTACTTTGGGGCAAATACTACTATTTAAGAGACAAGCATCAAAAGGAGGATAAAAGGGCAAAATGTTCTCATTTGATAGTCCCTAGCAACATCTGTTTAAATGTCTCATGTTTCCAGTTCACTGTTTTAATAGCCTTCAGGATTTTGTATGATTACACATAAACAGCATTATTTTTCTGCAATACTGTCCTCCTCTTTTAAATGAAATTGGAAAATGGGAGATGCTGTTAATGCCTCGGGCACCCAGATTCCTCTGGGTTTTAACTGTTATCCATGTATGCAGGTTATGACTGGGAAGCCTTCTGATGCTCAGTTACAAAATGCACTGGTGCATGAAATAGTCTCCAATCTTGTGCAAGTTGCGTTGCATTTATTAGGATATGATGTTTCTTATTTCCATCTTCATATTCACCTTCAAAGCCACTACCAGACTTGTTTTTAGTTTTGGTGTGGGGTTTTTTGTTTATTTTTTTTCTAATGATCCTGCCTTACATAGTCTTTAAGAAGAATTTTGTGTGTGTGTGTGTGTGTGTATACATATACACACACATCTTTATGTTTTGTGGTTTTCCTAGCATGTATTCTTAGTCTTACACCAAGTAAAATGTATCTTCACTCCTCTCTCATGAGGCACAGCAGATTTGGAATGTCTGCAGTAAACCAGGATGGATTTTTTTGCCCCCTGTTCCTAACTGCTTTACTGAAGGCTGAAATAAATCTGAGTATTTAAATATAACCAACCTCACTTTTCAAAGTGTATAATCAATACATAAATGCAGAAGCCTAAGTGCCCTTACTTTGACACAAGATACTAGTTCTCAAGTCTTAGTTTGTGTCCTGTGTTTTAGCTGTGTGGAGTTTATTCAGCAAAACTTGTCTCTCAAGTAGTCAGTTCCTTTATCTGCACTCAGTTAAAATGTTTTCTTTTTCTCAGTTTAGTGATACTTTTGTCTAGCCCAGTGTACTTCCATCATTCACTGTCTTGTCTTTGCCACTAATTATCCCTTGATACCTTTGTCTGCAAGCCTGTCTGCTCATCTTCCTGAGCAATTCAGTTACAGTTAACATCACCCTTAAAAATAATCTTATCTCAACTGTCTCTTCTATACTGAGTGCAACACATCCAGTTTTGTCGATCTTTTATGAGGCATGTAATGTCATTTATCTGTTGTCTGACCTCCAATTATGCCCTGGCTGATTTATATATGTAATAAATTGAATTCCTCTGTCACTGGATTGTATAGTAGACTCCTGGCCTGCATGTGCAGTGCATCCACATTTCTTCTCTCTTCATCTGTGCATTATAATTTCTCAGTCTGATAAATATTTAATAAAGCTAATCTCTTTCCAGACTTGAATATATTTTTAATACCGCACTGCTGTTCAGCCTTGTTTTCTAATAAGCTTGGCTATTTGTGTGTATCCATGAACAGAGATAAGCAGGAACGCGCTCCCGAGTCACCTCATTTCCTTTCCCTGACCCTCACTGTCAGTGCTTGCTGTGTCACACCTATGGTCAGGGAACAAAAGTGGATGCTAACTAAAGCTTTCTATTTACTTGGGATTTTTTTTCTTTTCAGGTTTCAATTCTAGGCTGCCCTGATCCCAAAGTTCATGAAATTGCATACCAGTATGGAAAAAACGTTGGCATAGCTTTTCAGGTAGTACTTTTGTTTGAACTAAAGGGAATCTAAAATACAAACTTTTCCAAACTGCGTTAGAAATCAAAGTGGGCTGTCGTAATCCTTTCTGTAAACCTTAACAAGGATTATTCTGTACTTAGTTCTCGTTAAAAACCCAAAACTTTTAAACTGATCTGTATGTTTCTGTCTTTCCAGCTCATAGATGATGTGCTGGATTTTACATCGTGTGCCGACCGTCTGGGGAAACCAGCAGCAGCAGATCTCAAGCTTGGATTAGCCACAGGTCCCGTCTTGTTTGCTTGTCGACAGGTAAGTCCACGGGAATCTGTTTCCCCAAAACAAAAAGTGCCCACTGCTCTTCACAGCACACACAGAGGTCCAGCTCGAACACACCAAATCTGAAGTGTGATGAGCGTGGCCTGGGCACCTGTGAAAAATCAGTGTGGTCCACATCAGCTGGACCACGCGTTCTTTCAGACTGAGAAGCACCTCTCTGTGCAAGTCCTCTTAACATTCATATCCAAAGCAGTGCTGGTCTTTTGCTGCCCCAGTTCCAGTGCTTAATCTTCGCAAAGGGGCAGGTATTCAGGGAGCTTTTGCCTGTTTTCTGCAGGCTGTTCCTTAGTGGCTTCTTGATTAATTTTTTTCCTGAGACATCTTGTATCTCCGCAGGCTTGACTACATATGCAGGCTTTTTGCCAAGTTCTTGGCTTTGTATCCATCCTCAGGCCAAGAGCTTAAACCTCTGCCTAGCTTTTAGGTGAGCATCTCTACTGACTGGATTTTATCTCTTAGTCTCTTTGTCCTTCAGTCTTAACCAGTTACAAACGCAGGAAGCTTTCTCTTCTGAAGGTAAATGTAATAGTAGTTCCGATAAGAGAAAGCATAAATAAAATAAGCTTAAGATTGGTCAAGATTTTTAGTGTCTTGAAAATGATTTGGAGGAGTATAAGGAAAACAGAAGTGCCAGCAGCACCGAAAGAGTCATTAAAATCAGTGCTAATCCCTAGCTGGGGAAGAAACTGGTTTAATGCACCTTGCTCAAGTTTCTGGTTCACCTGAAGAGGGTTTGGGACTCAGAAAGCAGTCCTTCACAGTCCTTCCTGCCTGACTTCACAGCATGGTACAAAAACTGGCACAACTTGCTCCAGTAAGAGCTCTGGTCTGGGATTTCTCATTGGAATTGTTCAGAGCTTCACATGGGAAAAGTTTTAAATAATTTTTAAAAACATACAACTTTATGACATTTACTTCTCCCTCTTTCTTAAAGAGCCCAGGGTGGGGGGAGGTGGGACATAGGTTATGTGTTTGTTTCCTTATCCTCTGGGCATTTACAAGGACATAAAAGACAGGAAGGCACAGAGTATCAGTCACTTGGGAATGCAGGCAAATGCGCGCTGAGAACAACCTCCTCCGTTTCTCGGTTCCTCCCCACAGACCCATCTGGGGGATTCACAGACTTGGTCTTGAGTCATTATTTCAGGATTTGTGATAAGCAGCAGGATCTCGTTAGTCACCAGCAACTGGAGTTGTCTAAAGAACAGTGAGAGGCTGAGGTACAGAAAGGGGATGTAATTGTGAAATGTTTGTTTATGTGTTAAAGCTGTGTGTAGAGAGAAACAAGGACATGTTGCAAATACTCTGATGTTGGCAGAGAATGGGCGACACTGATCGTCTTGTGGGTGTTGAATATTCCATTTTTTAATTAAAACTATTATTTTATTCAGTTGTTTGGGTTGGCTGTCTCTGACTTTTGACTTCATCTGTCATTTAATTAGCTTTACAAGCTAAATGAGTTAAGTTCCTAATAGGGAAGTACAAGAAAAAAAAAAGTCAGTTCTATTTTAAAATCTTATTTGTTCTCTGTAGGTCACTTTTAAAGGCTCTTCACTATTTATATCTTTGATAGGAAGCGTACATTTTTACACTGAAAGAGAACTTGACCATCTTGCAAAATTTTCCACATTATCCAGAGGGCGTCTTTGCTGAAAATTTTCTGCTGTTTTCAAGAAGCTGGAAGAACAGCACTACAGACTTAAGCAATATGTAAACAAAGTATAACGGCCAAAAAAATGTGGAGCTTCAGCAGACACTTATCTGTGCTGCTACTAAAAGATGTTTCATCTATTTGTATCCAAGAATAAAACCTCCTGAACCAGGACTTGAAGACAGTCCCAAATGTAATTGTTAGGTACAGGCTGCTTTTTCTCTTAAAATTAGTATTACTGCTATCCTGCGTACCCGTTAATAGATCTGGTAATCATCAAGTTGTCTTCTTGGCAAACACACTTTAGCTCTGAACGTGGTCAGGACCTTCAGTGACAGCCGTCTTTTCGATGTCCTCTCCCCTCCCTCTGAAACACATGGTTTTCCTTTAGAATATTAAAGAGAGGCCTTTATACAAAAAATGTTTAGCTTGATGTCAGACCTGTTAATTCACTCAGTAAAAGACAAACTCTTTTTAAAAGAAACACACTAGTATACGCTAAGTCTAAAGCCACTCTTAAACTAGTACAGCTGAAGAATAAAGGGTTTATTTTTCTTACAAGCATTCCTATCAAATGCTTATATACTAGATGGTAAATCTGCAGAACTGCTAATAACAGCTTTTCATTACAGGTTTGGGGGGTTTTTACATTCTTTAGTGCTTAAATATAAAAAGTGAAAGCACATGCATCCTCTGTCATTGTAAATACGAATAACATGAAAATGGATTATGTGAACATTGCAATTAAATTGTCATGACATGGGGAGAAAGCTAGAATCTAGAGAAAGCCACATGTGAGTCACCAGTAAACTTCTAAATGTATCTTCCACAAAGACTACCTATGAGTAACAGGGAAATGTCACAACAACGAGGGATGCTACATGTTTGTTCCTAACAAGTTTGTAGATCTACAGTTTCAGGATTAAAGGTGTGCAAGGAAAGCAGATCATTGTTTCCATGTGTATGGCAATAAAATAATCTTGGTTTGACTATAACCCTTTTGACAAAGATTAGCAAACAACTCTTTCCTTTAAAAATAATTCTTCTGCAGAGCAGCTCCCTTGAGCCAGTGACCTTTGTTTGTAAGCACCAGGTTCTTCTGTTATCTGGACTGTCTGAAGAAAGTGCCTGCATATTTAGCTAAGGGATGCAGTGACTTTCTCAGACAACTGACTTCAGTTATCTGCCTGATTTGTAGGGAATTGAGTGTGCAGTACTAACTGCAAATTGTAGGTGACCAAAACCAAAATATATTATAGTCATCATTTTTCTCTTACATATCTTGAAGGGTTTTACAGGCTGACCTGTGCAATATAGATATAACAGACTCCTGGGTCCTCTGCTGTACACAGGTTGGAAAGAAGTGTTTCTCTTAGGTGTGCCAACACCAACCATCATTTGTGATATAAGAATACCTGAACCAGCTTATACACCCAGAAGTAGCCACATCAGAAATTGCCACACTGGGTCGTCTGTTCAACCTGATGAAATAGCAGGTGCTAACTTCCACTGGCACCTGGCTACAGCCAGTGTAAGTTTTAAATGTGTGGGCTTTGTTATACTATCTATGCAGATCACAGGTATTCACCTATACCTGTAGTAAAAACTGTCAGGAGAAGAGGTCTGTACTTCAGTTTCTTTTTGACCTTAGCATGGCAGGCAGCTACACAGAAAACAACTCATAAACTGTACAAAACCGTCTGCCTTTGTGCTTAGTTTCCAGAAATGAATGCTATGATAATGAGACGGTTCAGTAAGCCAGGAGACGTTGAACGTGCTCGGAAATACGTGTTGCAGGTAGGACCAGTATCAACTATTTCATTCCTGAAGTGCTGTTCCTGCTG